AGAGAGAGAGACAGAAAGGAATGAGACAGAATGAAAATGAACAGCAAAGAGGGTGAGCGAAAATGAAAGTAGAGGCAGAGAGAGAGGGACAGAGACAGAGAGACAGACAGAGAGAGAAAGAGAGACAGAGAGAGAGAGAGAGACAGAGATGAAGACAGAGAGAGTGCGTGCACACGTGCGCGCGCGAGAGAGAGCGAGAGACATCCCGAAAAAGGGAGAGGGAGAAAGTGCGCAGGAATTAGAAAGCGAGAGAGAAAAACCAAAGGAAAAGAGAGAGAAAAAAAACAAAAAGAATGGGAGAGAATGAAAACGAACGAGAAGGAGGGAGAATGAAAGAGAGGAAAACGGAGGGAGGGATTGAGAGAGACAGAGAGAGAGAGAGGGCGCGCGCACGAGAGAGAGACGGAGAACGAAAGAAAAGGAGAGTGAGAACGAAAAAGAACGAGAGAGAGACCAAGCCTGAACAGGGAGGCAAGGAACGGCCCTCAATGTCCGAACCCAGGGCATCGTGTCGAGCCTGAGGGCTAAGACCGAGGGAGAGTGCAGACTCAACGGTGGTGGGGGGGGGGGCAAAAACGGGTCAAGCCCCAAGACCGGGGCGGGGAGGGGGGTTAATCAGAGGCCAACGGGACTCGAGGTTGGAGCTGAAGAGGACTCATAGCCCAATGGGGAGCTACGAAACGGCCTCCGAATCTGGATAAACGGAGGGCAACCAGGGCCCAGAGACTAATATCAGGGGTAAATGAGGCGCAAAGTCCAGACCCAGGGTAGAAAGGACACAGAGGCGAGGATTGGGAGGGATAGATAGGAAGCAACATTCCAGAGTCGGGGGGGAGGCCAGGGCTGTGCTAAATGGGGATACTCGGGGCAAATGGAGGAGGGAAGCGCAGAATGAGGGTAAATGGAGCCCAAAGACCAATATTAGGGGCAAACGGAGCCCAAAGGCCAATACTGGGGGCAGATGGAGCCCAAAGACCAATATTAGGGGCAGATGGAGGAGCAAAGCCCAGAATGAGGGCAAATGGAGCCCAAAGACCAATATTTGGGGCAAATATGGTGGAGAGGCCAGAGTTGGGGCAAATGGAGCCAAAGAAAAAACAATGTTAGGGGCAAATGGAGGTATAAAGCCCAGAATGAGGGCAAATGGAACAAAATTACCAATACTAGGGGCAAATGGAGGTACAAAGCCCCGAATGAGGGCAAATGGAGCC